CCGCAACCCTCCCCGCACCCCTCCCCGCACCCCTCCCCCCTGGCGCCCAGCGCGGGCGCCCCGCACGTCCCCCGCCGCCCTTCCACCGCCCGTCCACCACCCTCCCACCCCGGCCGCAGGTTGCGGAGTGCCTCGGCCTCGACGCCACCAAGTTCAAGTCGCACTCGCTGTCCAACGACGGCGGCGCCCTGCCGCGCGACCGCCTCGCCGCCCCATCCGACCTGCAGCGCTTCGCCGACTGCGAGCCCTTGTCTGTCCGCTGCGCCGCGTGCAAGACGACCGCGCCGCTCAAGGGCCTCCTCTCGGACGGCACCGACGGCACCCCCCCTGGCGAGTGGATCGGCGCCTCGGGCCCTCTCGGCTGCGGCGCCTGCGGCGCGCGCCTCCCTCGGACGGCCGTCTCCAACGCGCTCACGCTCGCCATGCGCAAGGCGATCGCCGCGTACTACACGGCGCCGCCGCCTCGAGGCGCCCTCCCACGCAGAGCCCCGCGCCCCTCCTCACCCCCCCTTGCGGTGAGCAGGCGCCGCTCCAGTGCGACGAGCCCTCCTGCTGCGAGCGGGCGCGGTCCGTGTCGACGCACATCTCGCGCGACGACGCCGGGCTGCCGCTCTTCCCCGCCTGCACCGTGGTGCGCGGCCGCGGCCGGAGCAGAGGCCCCGGGGGGAGGGAGGACGCGCGGCCCGTGACACGTGCCTTGAGCGTGCCTGCAGGCGCGCTGCCGCGGCCGCATGACGCGCACCGTCACCGACCGCTCGCTGCACACGCAGCTCCTCTCGTACCGCTCCCTCTTCGACGTGGGCGCCGCAAAGACCAAGGCTGTCGCCGAGGCGAAGCGGCGCGGCGAGACGCTCGGCGAGGTGCCTCCGCTCAGCCCCGCCGACGCCGCCGACCTCAGCCACCTGGCGGGCTTGGTGCGGGCGCGGCTGGACGCGTCCGCCTTTGACCGCGTCGACCTCGCGTCCCTCTTCTCGCGCGTCGCTTGAGCGACCAGCGGAGGGAGTCGGGCTGGGGGCGAGGCGGTGCGGCGGCCGGTCGCAGGAATG